TAATTCGGCCATGTTTGTGTTGTTGTCTCAATAGCCTTATTGTTTATATTCTTAGATTTGTTGTATTAATGTGGTGGTTGCTTTATCTGCACAATAAAAATCAAAATAGGGTGAAATCCTCTATAAAATTATGCTCCATACTTTTAAAGAGCCCACATTCAATTGACGTCTCCAATTGAAATTGGGTCACCCAATTTTGATTGGGTCAACATTTCTCAAAACTCTCTCATTCAATTCTTTTAAACTACACACTAACCTTCCTAATTTTTAAGGCCTCACAATTAATTGAGGTCTTCATTTTACTAGTAAGATGCCCATGCTACGCTACGGATCTTATAAGATTAGGTGGATTTAAGTTATGTCAGAAACCCATATGTAGGAGACAATAACAAATGTATGTAGACGTTGATCAAAGCGATGTTATATTGTTGACGTGTATATATCACGCATGATCAAATATAGGTTTCCAATCAATAAACTCTTTAATCCAAATGAAACATTTTCCGAATTCATCTCGTGAGAAGACTTGTTGTTTTCCCTACTCACCTTTCTCATTGCTCACAGTATCATTTACCGAGGGGACGGAGCATGCAGCAAATTAAAAATCCATCCACATGCATGTGGCAACTTGCGATGGCTACAAACTTATCCTAGTCCAATGGGTTAAAAACCTATCCTGACCCGCAACCCGCCCATGTCACGCACATGTCATCTCTACATGAATATGAGCATTATATGATGCAACATGCCAAACATGACCAAAATATAAATGATGACATCCAAAATAAATTGATGTTGCAACATTCCAAACCTCTTTGCAAGATTTGGCGAAAAAAGAATCATATCAAATAACACATAATAATATCTTGAAGATAGCAATCAAGACATTATATTAACATACAGAAGAGGATTTGTAGCACCAGGGTGCTCTACCCCCTATATGAACATTAAGTTCAAAAAATCACCAGAAAATTTTATTCTTTGGGGGGATTTTGGGATATCAAACTTGGGTGTCCAATCTACTTTCATATGAAATTTCATGAAAAAATACCATGAAATGTATCCATGGCAAAAAAAAGACAGAAGAAATCTATGCACAAAAAATGTTTGGACAGATTTTAGTTTGGACTATATTTCCTTCGCCACTTTTTTCACGAAACTTCACCCGGGAGTGGATTGGGCACCCGGGTTTGCTATCCTCAAATTTCAGAGTTTTCTAAGTTTAATATTCATAATATAGAGATGAGAAGCACCCGGGAGCTCCTGTGTATTTCCTAACATACATACTATAACTTGAGCACACACTTATATGTGGTTTCACGACAAACAAGAATGAAGTAGAAGTGGTTAACTAAATGCTTTGTTAAATACGCACACAAAAAATAAATCTGGGTATATTCAGACAACGGGAAGAAAACTGAGCCCTTAGAGGGTCTCTAGTATATTTACAGAAGGGGAAAAAATGAACAACACTTGCAATACATTTTGTACCGAGCAAAGAAACAAAATGTACAGTAAAAAATGCTTTGGAATCATGTGTATAGAAAATGGGTGACTGCACATGTACATACATACACAAAATTAGTACTGGACCTCTTGTAACTCCAGGTCGTATGCAATAGAGACAATCCTAAATAACTTACAACTATGCAATTGTGGCATTGTTCAACAAAAAGACAGCTTGGCACCACCCAAAAAGACAAGAATTCCGTGCAAAAACTTCAGTGGCACGGTGACATGACGTTTGGTCAAATTACAGGGACAATCCATTCAGTAAAATCAACAGGAAATTGTTCAGCCCGCTCCACCGCTCCAGGACTTATTTCAGCAACAGACAATTCTAGATCAGTAGTCATCAGTGAAGCATGCTTCAGTACTTATTTCTCTGCAGAGTATACTGAGAGAAATTAGTGTGATTTCTTTGAAACAAACTAACACAAGAATAGACGCAATGGCCTCACCTTGCTCGTCAGCGACCCCTTCCGAACAACATTATCTTGCGAAATATGCACCTAATCGAACAGGAAGCAAACTAAAAATTAAAAGATCCATCACACACATACCTGCTCGGCTTCTATTGGCAGCTTGGCACCGGAGCTGTCGGGAACGAGTAGCTCAACACTGTCAGAAATATTGCGCGGCCTAGTCATGGCAGTCCTGCCGCTGCTAGCCTCCATGGCCAGCACAAAAAAAGGGCATGTCGTTGGAGGTTGAGAACCAGAGAGGCAGAGACAACACTAAAGGGAATAACGCCGACATTGAAAACAAAGTAACTTACAACCCAGTTCATCTTCCTTATTCACCTAGGCACGCTGATCTCTGCACTCGCCGGTGCTAGTCGTCATCCACAAGACAACGGGCATGAGGAGCAGCATCGCCGATCCATGGCTTTGTGAGCCGCATATAAGTCCCGCCCCAAAAGACGGAACCAGGGAGGGTTCCGGTGCATCGGCCTGGGGTAGACTCAGTGATCCCTTGACCAGCGGCAGCCTACGACGGAGTGGAGCCGCAACTCAAACCACTTCGCCTGCAACAGTGCGCAGCTGTCGGCCGTCCGCGGCGACCGGATCTGGGAATCCCTCTCCACAAATCCCAACTTCTGTACTGTTGTGCACCCCCATCACCGACCAAACCTCGCCGGATAAGAGAGAGACCAACCTCCCTAACCCCACAGTGCCACCGGCCGGAGGGAGCACCGCCGAGACAGGAAAGGAGCCAGGGGGAACCTTATCCCACAGCGTTGACGTCGCCCCTGCCTGCCCGCCAGTGCCAGAATAAAATCCTAAAACAACATTATCTACAACCGCATCGCGGTCGTACACTGTCCCGCACACCTCCCAGAGCCCGACGGCTTACCGGAGGCGAGGGAGACCAGCGGAGGCAGCACGCCTGGAAACCGCCTCTCGCATCGAGAGAGAGACCAAGAGATTTCCACCGTGTGTAGCGACTTTGATAGGGGTACTCGAAGCTTCTGTTTCTTTCTCCAGAGAGAAATAGAAACAAGTAGTCGACATGCGGGGTGCTTCTGCAAAATGTTGTACAAGTGGCTCAAGCACAACTTATCTCACTCTCAGCCGTCCGTTTCAGATCAGACGGCACATATGCCACAAAGGCAGGCACGCCATCACCACCAACTCGCATTTTTATAGGAGTAGAGAGTAGAGATAATTGGGTCACTTGATTTTGACCAGGTCAACAATTTCTCAAGGAGCTCTCTCATTCAATTAGTTGTATTCGCTATGTTCCCTAATTTCGAGCTCTTTCATTCAATTGTGGTGTTCAATTTTGAATTTGGCTTACGATTTTGATCAAACCAACGATTTCTGGAAATCAAACAGCAGCAAACAGCCTATAAAAACATATTAATCCCGCGCAACTCCATCACCTAGAAAAAAGAAGTGTCACCATGTGATGTTGTAGCACCAATATACATGCAACGACCGACGCAAAAAATTTCTCACATAAGTATAGGTTGGTAGAGGATAACACAGAATCACACCACGAAATGCCCACCAACTCATCCATTATAAAATTAAAATAAACATACTTCATCACCTCCCGCACCCGCGAAACTAAATCTTCCATCGGTTTCAAAATATAAGGGGTATTTGTTTTTTTGGAAATTCAAATTTTCTATAACTTTGACCATATTCACAGCAAAAGATATCGACATCCACAACATTAAACAAAAATTTATGAAAATTGTATTTCATAATTTATCTAATTATACGATTTGATATTATAAATTTTGATATATTTCTCTAAAAATTTAATCAAACTTAAATGTTTGACTTTAAAAAAATACACCCTATATTTTAAAACAGAGTGTGTACAATTTTTTTACAGTGTGTACAATTTTTTTTATCAGTGTGTGTACATATTTTTGAAACCCAATAACAGCCAACGGCGCCCAACCTTGTCTTTTGTCTTGTTGAAACCCAAAGGACATCGAACGATCTAGAGCCTTTCCGAAGCAGCTAAGCCACCTTATTTACGGTGTTGCCCTCGTTGGCTTCCTTTTACGCCCGCAACATTCTTGCTCGTTTCCTCCGTCTCCCCTCCTGGAGTCGCGACTCTGAACCCTAAAGCGTAGATCCCCGCGCAGCAGGAGCAATAACTCGCGCGTACGAAATTTCCTCCAGTAAAACATGAGGTGATAACCGCTCGCGATCCTTCTCTGCGTTGCGCTCTCTCTCATTCTTGATCAGATTCATGTGCGGTCATGCCGCCAGTTGAGCGGGCTGGGATGGGATTGATTGACGGAGTGCTGCTATTTTAGCTTGGTTATTATATGATTCTGCATATGGTCTTGTATGTCATATAGTATGTACTCCCTCCATCCCAAAATAAGTGTTTCAACTTTGCACTAACTTTAGTACTCCCTCCTCCGGAAATACTTGTCGGAGGAATGAATGTATCTAGACGTATTTTAATTCTAGATACATCCATTTTTATGTATTTCTTCGACAAGTATTTCCAGACGGAGGGAGTACAAAGTTGTACCAAGGTTAAGACACTTATTTTAGGACGGAGGTAGTATTAGTTAGATCATGGGTCTGGAAGTTGGGACTTGGAGTCTGGACATTGCACCTTGTAAGTTACTGTATTTCTTTCTCCCGCATTTTTTACTGTATTTCTTAGTTAGGCACAAGTATGCTAGATATTGCGATCTGCGATATCCTAAGTTTTTGTTCAAAGGGCCGCCCTGATTGGTTGACTACCATTTGTTTGGCCAACCTCACAAAAAGTTGCAACTTTTTGGCCAACTAATTGGCTAGCCATATTCTTATTGATGATTGTCGTGATTGTAAATGACAAGGAGATTTGATCAAAATCGTGATAGGGATTTTTTTGAGTGCATTCGCCACCCGAGCACTAAGTGGGCGCAGAGCCTAGACAAGGTTTACTTGATGATTGAGCTGCCCGACGCAAAGGATGTGAAGCTCAAGTTGAACCCTGATGGCCATTTCAACTTCTAAGCAACGGCCCCTCCTGATGACATGCAGTATGAGCTTGACCTTGAGCTCTTTGATGTTGTCAGTGTTGAGGTTGGTGTCTATAATTACTAACAAATGTCATCTTCTTGGGTGCACATTTTACATGCTAACTGCTGTTATTTATTTATTTACATGCAGGAGAGCCAAGCGGCTCTTGCCCCGAGGACTATATGCTACCTTGTCAAGAAAGCTGAGGGCAAGTGGTGGCCTAGGCTGCTCAAGAAGGAAGGCAAACCACCTGTGTTCCTCAAGGTTGACTGGGATAAATGGCAAGATGAGGATGATGAAGACGCTGGATGTAAGTTCTATGGTTCAAACATGTGTTTGTTTGTGTCATATACCCTACTATGTTGTTCAGGGTGAACTGACCTCAAGTTATCTGCGTCGCAGTTGGTGACTTTGGTGATATGGACTTCTCGGTATGGGTTTGGTACAATCTTTCTCTAGTGATGAAGTAAATGTTAGCGAGGCTTCCATTGTTCTTTGTGTTTGCAGAAGCTGGATATGGGAGGTGGTGATGACGATGATGAGATTTTGGAGCATGATGAAAACAATGTGGTTGACAATGCTAACAAAGGAAGCTTATGATGTTTATCTTGTACTACATGATTTTTTCGGGAAGCATATGCCTGTTCAAGGCTTCATATTTCTGTCCTGCTATTTGATTAGTGCTATTCTGATAATATTCAGAACGAGCATACTAGTAAGACATTTTGATGAATCCTACTCTTAATTATTTAGCCTTTTAGGTGAGCCCTCAATTTTTTTGGAGGTCCAATGCGAGAGTAGCATAGACATATCTTCAGTGTTGCTTTCATAATCTCCCTATCACATACACATGCCTGTGGAAGTGTCGAACACTGTCCAATGTTGTTCAATGTAAGTCGAGGCGACTGTCGTAACTCTTAATCATCAGTTCCAAGAACAGTACATAGAGACTTTGGTCGGCCTTCTCTTTTGTGAATTACTACAAAATTTTGATTTGGTCTATTTAACTTGTGAAGTCTGGTCTCGACTCTCGGATATCGAAAATGGATTTTATGGGTTGTACTGTTTGCTGAACTAATTTCATGTTGTTGTAAATGCAGCTGATGTAGATGTCGAGACAGAGGAGGGGAGCAAGGGAGGGGAAGCTCCATCAGCTGCGGGTGAAGAAGCAAAGTCATAAAAGATTGGAGGTATCACGAGATCTGTATCTAGACACTGGTAGAATTTTGGCGTGCCCCTGAAGTTGGGTAGTAGAGGTGGTGTTGGTAGCTTTTGGCCGGGGGCTATCTGTAGTGTTTGACGGACGGCACTGCTGTGCATTCTGTTATCCTGCACTTCTTGTTTATTGTAGACCTGCTAGGTATGTTAATTGCATGAGATTGTGGTGTCACGTATCTCAGATAATATAAGATTGCTTACTGTTGATGAAAACATGAAGGGCCTATTTGGATTATAGCCTAAGGTTGCCAGTCCTAACTTTAGTCACGCCACAGTATTTTAGGCAGTGCATGTGTTTGTTTCATTGTCACACATGTGGCTTGCCACACTTTTCTAGCTTCATGGTCCGCATGCCATAGGCTTAAATTTTTTTGCCAAATCTTTATCACACTTGTGGTGGTCATTTTGTTAGCCACTCTTTCCCTAAGATTGGGAGGTAATAGCACTGAAGGTCCTAGAACTTGTCATGATGTGATGGTTTAGTCCTAGAATTTGTAAAAGTGCACTGATCAGTCCTAGAACTTGTCCAAGATATGCAAGTTTAGTCCTGGGTCAATCACATGCAGCCAAGTGGGGCCGACTTGTCCAAGATATGCAAGTTTAGTCCTGGGTCAATCACATGCAGCCAAGTGGAGCCAGTCGACCCGAGCCGGTCAATGCTGGATGTTTTGCACTTACCCCCTTATTGTTTCTTGAATTAAACCCGCTGCAAAATGTGTTCTAGATCTGCACAAAAATATTTATACACTTGGTAACAGAGCACCACTATAGATTTGTATATACTGTTCGGAAGTAAATTCCTGATATGTTTTGCAATGATTAACACAAGCATGTTGAAACAAATTGATGCTGGTTTCTTTGGAGCAATTTTCAGTACAAAATTTAGGTCGTTGGAGAATGCATATGATGACTAATGACAATTTGCTTTTGGAATTGTGTTATTATTGAATTTTGTGGAACGAATTAGCAAGGGAAAGGGATGTTGAAATCAGGAGATTGCATAATAAATCAACTTTTTACTGTGTGAGTGGCACAAACGAACCAGTTTGTTTCTCAATTAATGTGAATCTTAATTATTATTTTTATCCTTTTGGCAAAAAGCTTTGCCATTTAACTGGGACTTGACTGTGAACAAACTATGTGTATGTGTCCATCTACTGTACACATTGGTCTCTTCTATTTTAAATTATTTAGTTTTCGCTATTTAGCTAGCTAGCAGAAAATTACCTCATATCATGTCATTAATTATTTCCCTTTTGTTTCATGCACATTGCACAAGCATTTTAGCCCCGGAGCAGTACCTGCTGGGATATATGGTAATTACTCCCTCCGTTCCAATATCATATGTTTTACCCATCAATGATCCGGCCAGGATGGGGCTTGACGCGGGCGAGAAGAGGGAGATGGTTCGCCGGATAGTTCACCGGAGAACTTCGTCGGCGGCGGTCAAGCCGTGGAAAGGTCCTCTACCGAAGGTATGTCGTCCAAATCTTACCATTTTTTATCTAGTTAAGCTAGAGTCGTGGATCGTTGTTAAACGGAAGAGGAATGCTCGCCGGACGGTGGCCAGATTGGAGCCGCCGGCGCCTGAGCTGGTAACGCCCGAAAATCCGGGTCTCGGGATCGCTGCGGATTGGAGCGTCGTTTGAAAATCTTGGTAGGCCGAGAGGGGCTGGACCTAGATGCTGGTAGGCCGGCTCGGGATGGGCCGGGGTTAGCTGGGTATGAGGCCCAGACTAACCCGGGTCCGACCGGCTTTTTCCTAGAGGAAGTTTGATCGGGGGTGCACGCAGTCAGTGGGCCGGGAGTGCATGGGTATGAGGCCCAGAACCAACCGGCACCGATCGCTATCGAGGGCGAGGCGGTCTCGTTTCTTCGATCTTTGTCCTGTCTCGAGTCACCTGTTAGGGTTCGTCGTCGTCGCCTGAGTCAAAACATGCGATCGGCTGGGACTGGTCGGGCTAGGCGTATTCCACCGCTCCGTACGATGGCGGGTCGCGGAGGACCCTTGCCACCGGGGAAGAAGACGGTGGTGCCTCAGGAGGCCGGCCGCCTTGGGACTGTGCCACAGCAGGGCAGCGGCGGAGGCCGCGGCGCTGTGCTGCCGCCAGCCGCGGGGGCTGGAATGCTTCCCTCGGCCACTGGCAGTGGCAGCGGCGCTGCGTTGCCGGCGCCTGGGTCTGGCCGCGGGGGAGTGCTCGCCCAGCCCGCTGGTAGGGGCTTGGCTCCGGTCGGGACTGCTGTGGGCCGGGGCGGCGTGTTGCCCGGTCCCAGACCGACGGCGCCAGCTCTGGTGGGTCAGCGACCTCCGGCGCCGGGTGCTTCAAGGACCAGCAATGCGGGCCGAGGAGGCGCTGCGCCGCGACCCCCTGCTCTGGGGTTGCAGAGCGGCCAGCCGAGGCCAGCTCTGCCTCCTCACCTCGTCGCCAGGCCTCCGCAAATCAGAGCCGGGACGGTGCAGCAACAGGCACTTCCACCGACTCAAGCCACGACTGCGCCTCAGGTTCAGTGGGGTGATGATGGGGTCAATGCGTATGGAGCTGGTAAGCACCGTGGATCCTCATCGACTGGCGGCGGTCGAGGCTATGCTTGGCAAAGCGATGGCTCGGCGGAGCGCCCGTTCATGGGGCCCCCAGGAGGTTTTGTTGAGGGGGCGTCTGGCCCTGGTCTTCGGCCGCGGGGTGGCTTCCGCGGTCATCATGGTGGGCGTGGGGGTCGAGGTGGCCGGTACCGCCCACGACCGCCTACCCCGCCTGTGATTGATTCGATGGTGGTTGATGTGGCTGTTGAGCAGCAGGTTTTGACTGGCCAAGCTTTGGAGGTGGTCTCGGCGCTTGCCAATGCTGAGATACCCGGGAATGAATCCGGGTTGACTGTGTCAGTGGAGGATTCTTCTAGGGCTGAGTCTGAAAGAGCATCCAAATATGCGCGCAAGAAAGAGAAAATGCTCTGTTATCGATGTGGTGGTAAGGGGCATTTTATTGCTGAGTGTGTGGCTGAGCTGTGTGGCACTTGTGGCAAACCGGCACACGATTCGAGGGACTGTCCGTTTCTGAGAGATCAGGCACCATCACTCATGATGTATGGAGTGTACTGTGTTGAACTTACGTTCTTTGAATCTCCAACGGAGATGGAGGTTCCTGACGAGACTTTGAGTTTGACGACTGGGTTAGTTAAGATTGCTAGAGGAGAGGTCTCGGAGGCATAGATTGTTTAGAGGCTCAAGGAGTTAGCCCCTGGGGATTTCAGGTGGGAGCTTGCTAGTGTCGAGGACAAACTGTTTCGGGTTGAGTTCCCGTCAGTTGAGGACCTTCAGAGACTATTGAGTTTCGGGATGTGCAAGGTGCCAGGTACTGATGGCGTGCTTGAGTTTCACGAGTGGAAGAGGATTGAGCCTACGGGAAAGCCTCTGACTCAGGTTTGGCTACGATTCTCTGGGGCTCCATCCAAGTCGATGCAGGATGCCCGGGTCGTGGCCAGTTTGGGTATCATGGTGGGCAGACCAAAGCGCGTGGATATGGACTTTACCAGAGCCCACGGGATTGCCCGTTTACTGGTCAGTGTGCTGAACATCGAGTACGTACCTGAGGTGGTTAAGTGGGCATATCGAGGCCACATATATAACCTTGTCATTGAGTTCGAGGATGAGAGTCTGTTTGCCGAGGCGGCCAACGGGTCTGATACTGATATGCACGAGGATGATGATAGTTCGGCACTTAAGGAGGCACCAGCAGCTGACAGTGGACGTCAGTTGTCCACTCCGCAGGGTGCTGACTCACACGTCTGCGGATGGGACGGCTCCTCCTTCTACGGTGCCTACGACTACTCTTAGATTCGGTTCTTTCGAGCCGGCATCTGCACCCCCGAGACTGTGGAGTGATCGGGTGGAGTCTGATGAGGTGTTCGAGCACTCGCTTCCGGTTCTGGAGCTTGAGAAGCCAGTGATTCCTCTTTTTGAGGAGTCATCGATCTTGTTCAGGGCTGAGGCGGGGGAGGTCGTTCTTGCAGGAGAGGGTCTGAAGATGGTGACTTCGGATTCCTCCCCTCCGGTCGCGATTTCGTAGGTGCAGCCGATGGTGCCGGCTGCTGATGGGGGCGTGGGGCAGGTGGCCTCGGTGCCCTCATCAGGGCCTGCGGTGGGTGAGCTATCGATGGTGCAGATTGATTCTTTGGGAGGGAGGCCGAGGCTGCTAGATCCGGCACCTTCCTCCCCTTTTACCGGGCGGACGGCGCTGGCGCCGGAGTCGCTTCTCGGAGAGGACTCGGGGTAGGTGGCCTCAGGGTCCTCTTCTCTTGTGGAGCCCAGAGGTGCTTGCTCGCCGACGGTGCCGGTGCCGCCAGTTGGCCCTTGGGCCGGGGTGGATGGGGAGCTCGGGCAGGAG